TATATGTATGTATATATATATGTATGTATATATATATATATATATATATCTTTAACGCCAGTATGGCCCTGTGAGGCAGAGTGTCGTCACTGTCCTGACGTCACTTAGCTATCCATCCAAATTAAACAGGAAACATACGTTTTTATTTTGGTAAATAACAGTGCAGGTTTATTAGCAGTATGTAAAGGTGCAAATAAATGACTGAAAGAGAGAAAGAAGAAGAAGAAACTACAAATTTACACGCAGCCTCACTACGAGATGCTGCAACATGCTGCGTCGAATTCCGCATGACGTTGGAGTATTGAAAAAAATATATAACATTGGAGTATTAGGAAATATAATGTGATTTTCAAAAACGTGTACATTATTAACCATAACAAAAAAAAACACATAACCATTAACTACACGTATTTCCATACAGACATAAATATGACAGGACCTTGTTTTTTTCTGTCCCAAAATGGAACCTAATGGTGTGTTCTTCCGCTGGGACACTTAATGCTGTCGGACAGGAAAGTGCAGCGGCGCGACGGTGACTATGTGAGTGGTAAAATTCTGCTATGGTTTGAATGGTGAACCCGCAAGTGGTGGTACCTCACTGTCCGCTGTCGAGTTCAAATAAATTATATTTGTCCTTGACGTACGGTGTTGTGGTTCGGTTTAACTTTACGCGGTTTAGCGTTTAGCATGCCGGTGGGGGATATACGCAGTGTATTGTGGGTAATGTAGTTTTTTGTATCTTCGGCGCTATTTCTACTGCTCAGAATACATTTTACAGGCCCTGTAATTGTAGAACGGTGAAAGGCACTTCTCCCTGCAACCTTGTTCACCGTCACATCGCCCTCTACGTGTTATTTTTAAACTAAAGTTTAAATTTCAGTGCTTTTATATCATTTCCTGACTTTCACCTGTCTCTGCTTCCTGTGTTTCCCTTCAGTGACCACCTGAACCTTTTCAACATGTCATGTGCCCACTTCTTGCTTGTCCGTAGACAGTATAAACCTCCTCCACCTTCTCCCTTCCCTGTCAGTTTGTTTTTATTTGTTGTCAGTCAACCAACTGTCCTAATTTAACTTTGGTCGAATGTAAGGTCAAAATCTTTTTTTTTTTGATGTTGATGTTGTCCACGTCCCCCTTGTTGCTAGTGGTTGTCCTTATTGTCTACAAGCGAGAAAGAGCATTAGTTTATGTCCCGACTCAGACTGGTATCCTTTCTTAATGTTTTCCAAACACTTTGGTATCCTTAGTAGGTGGCCCTTTTGATTTAGTAGCAAACAATCCAGGTTGTACCCAACCCGATTGGCTAAAAAGGATGAAACAGTGGAAAACAGTCTCTGTTATCTATTGTTGTGCCCTGCTCTTGGATTTATTCATTTTCATCCAAAACTAAGAGGAAATTCAATGTGTCACTGCTGTTTTCCAAAGCCATCCGTATGAAGTTTGTTTATTTTCCAGACAGGAGCCAGAGCTCATAAATACCTCCAGTGAACACACATGGGTAAATCAGTAACCGACCGAGGTGAGGCACCACATTTAACATGATGTCGACATCAATAACTTGTCTCTCATTCTTCATAGGATGTGTTCAGATATAGGGCATATAGTACAAAAGGCGTATTCTGTGTTTAAAAACAATAATGAAAGATTGCAAAATTAAATATGTTCTCTCTCATGAAAACACAAAGTGCATTTAAGTCAATTGCTGGATCATTTTTCTAAACTTGGGTTTGGCGTTCAGGACGCGCTTGTCTTTTGATGGAGAACGCTTCATTTAAGTCAATTGCTGGATCATTTTTTTTGTGCGAAGAGCTTCTTGTTGACCTTTCTAAACTTGGGTTCTTGGCGTTCAGGATGCGCTTGTCTTTTAATGGAGAACGCTCGGTCCCCATAAATCACCAATCATCATAAGTGATGGTCCCGTGGTGATTGGACAGATTCAAGGTGGAGATCACAGGAGTAAATATTGCCTACTAAAAAGTGGAACATTTAGAGGAAACAGCTGCATCACACCCAAACTGCTCCACTTCAACAATGGCTTATTTCAGAAATCCAATCCTCCAGGTTGTTAAAATACATTCTTTGTTCGTGTAGTCATGACATTTACAACCTTTGAATGGAAGACGTGGCTCGTTTCCAAGTCCTTCAACATCCTACAATGTCAGAGTAAACATTGTAACGCTGTAGAACTGTCGTCGGACAGAGGACACATTGTATGCGGTGTTCACAAAAACTTTTTTTTTTTTTTTTTTTTAAATAACACATCTCATATACTTACTACTTGTGGCTGTTCTAACCTCTGTTTATTAAAGCTCTTTTGACCTGGTTGTCCAGTGAACGTAAGAATAAGGACAGGAGTCATCATCTTCTCTGATGAGTCCAATTTTCAGCTTTGGCCAACACCTAGCTAACACCTAGCTAAGGGCAAAGCTATTTTCAGCTTTGGCCAACACCTAGCTAAGGGGGACTGCATACAAAATTTTGACAAACACCGAATTATATTACGTGTACCGTATTTTCCGGACTACAAGTCGCACTTTTTTTCCATCCTTTGGCTGGGTTTGCGACTTTTACTTAGGTGCGACTTATGTGCTGAAATATATATTTTCATATTTTTGTTAATTTTACACCAACAGCTGCTAGAGGGCACTCTAGACTTATGTATCAGTATCTGCTACTGCTGTACCACTGAAAATGTACATGTTCGTTATTTTCACACTGACATTCCGTTTTAATATGTACTCTGTTGTCTAGGAATGCATCGCAAAAGATGGATGATTTATCAGATGCATTTATTTTATTATTTTTTTTATTACATAGGTGCAAATAAACGCCGTGTACATGCTCAAGTTTAGTGACAGTTAATTACGGGTATTAAGTACAGTATATAAGTAGTAGTAGTGCGAAGTAAATCAAATCTTATGTAGCACTGTGAACTACATTGTAAAGGCTGATGTCGATAAATAAATACATAGTAACTATACCACAGGTACATTTTCAGAGATTTGTGATCCAACAGTTCACAGTAATTGTAGAGTCTTCAGATTAATATTCAGAGTTTCACCTGCAGGAGGTAAAATGAGGATTACAATTAATACAGTAAATACATATTTTATTCACTTAAAGGCCTCCAAATGGGCTCCGATTACCCTTTTAAAAGGAGAGGTTTTTCACCGTCCCTGTCTTCTTGTAGACATCTCTGTGTTTCTCCTTCACGCTGCGTTTCTCTGCGAGGTCAGGACACAGGTTTTCTTTACACTCTATTTGATCATTTTATGTTGTAAATATTACAGTGGCTACAGCCCTGATATGGACATGTGACATCTGAATACCAACCTTTATCACGTGCAGGATAATTGCTGTTGACTCTGGAAAATAGAAAGATGTTAGTTAACCATAGTCTAACGCAGTAATTCTCAAGTGGTGGGGCGGGCCACTCTGGGGGGACGCGGCGAGGTCCCAGGGGGGACAGGTTTCCCGTAAATATAGTTGGACAGAAGTGTGCCACTGGTGTAATGCTTGAACAACAAACAAGCCTTCAGTCACTAGGTGGCAGCGACTCGTATAGTTGTTTGTACAGATAAGATAAAATACATATTATCAGGTTCTTTAGAGTAATCCAAATCTATGGAAGCGTACGGCTGCCACAATGAGGAAAGAAAATTGTCTCAGTTTCACATAATTACGTGATACGTTTTATGTTATTACGTGATACGTTTCACGTTATTCACGTCACGAAAGTAGAACCGCGATATAGAGAGGGACCACTGTAAGGTAAAAGTTATCACGAGATAACGTAAAAGTGATCGCGAAATAACGTAAAACTTATCACGAGATATCGTAAAAGTTATCACGAAATAACGTAAAAGTTATCACGTGATAACGTAAAACTTATTACGAAATAACGTAAAAGTTATCACGGGATAATGTAAAACCTATCACGAAATAACGTAAAACTTATCACGTGATATCGTAAAAGTTATTACGAAATAACGTAAAAGTTATCACG